ATCGGCCTCGTAGCAGTAAGAATCCAGACCCTGAATCCAGAGCTGGGTGTGGCTCGGCCTCCTGCACACTCTGCCACCTGGGCTGATCACTGCCCCCCACTCCAGGTCTCCTCACTTTAAAACAGGGACAATGAGGGGCACCTGGGTGGTGCAGTCAGGAAAGCATCTCTCTCTCTCTCTTTTTTTTTTTAAGATTTTATTTATTTATTTGACAGACCAAGATCACAAGTAGGCAGAGAGGCCCGTAGAGAGAGAGGGGGAGGCAGGCTCCCTGATGAGCAGAGAGCCCGACGTGGGGCTCAATCCCAGGATCCTGGCATCATGACCTGAGCCGAAGGCAGAGGCTTTAACCCACTGAGCCACCCAGGCGCCCCAAGCATCTGACTCTTGATTTCTGCTCACATCAGGCTCTCAGGCTCCTGAGATCAAACCTCTCACTGGGCTCCCCACTCAGTGGGGAGTCAGCCTGGGATTCTTGCTCTACCTCACCCTCTGCCCCTCCCCACCTGTGTGCACATGCACGCTCTCTCTCTCTGAAATAAATAAATGAATCTTAAAAAAAAAAAAAAAGGAATGATGACCTCACAGGGCATCTGTAAGAGAGAAATTAACATATAACAACCAATGATGACATCACATCACGGCAAGCATCTGCCAGTAATGTACAGAATCTGGGCCTTAATATAAAACAATTCTAAAACTCAAATGTCCCAACATCAGATAAATGACTTCTGTGTTAGCTGACGGTTTCTGGATTTCCTTCTGTGCTACTTTTCCTGAATTTGGTATGAAAAGCTACAATATGGATATACATCCAAGGTGCATACATACACACACCAATATTCTTTTCATATGGTAGCTCAAGATAATGCAAAGATTTTATTATTTTTTTAAATTTATTTATTTGCAGGAGAGGGCGAGAGGACACAAGCAGGGGGAGGGGCAGAGAGGGAAAAGCAGGGTCCCTGCTGAGCACTGAGCCCGATGTGGGGCTCCATCCCAGGGCCCTGGGATCATGATCTGAGCCAAAGGCAGATGCTTCACCAACTGAGCCACCCAGGGGCCCCAAATGATGCAAAGATTTTCGCAGATGCCACAAAGACTTCTCTCTGAGCCTACTCCTCCCACTGCTTCCCATCCCAACCACTACCCTGGCTTCAGTGACCCTCTAACTGTCGGGGCTGGGAGAAGGGTCAGCACTGGGGAGAAGCCTCGCATTCTCCTCCCGCGAGCAATGTGGGAGCCGCCGGCAGGAACACACCTGTTCTGTTACAGTCAGAATACGGAGCCTCGGAGAAGCTGCCCAGCCTTTGTCCCCGGCCCAGGCCACAGCAGAGATACACGCCACCATATCCCAGTGTCCAGCACGAAGCTGAACACAGCAGGAGCACAAGAGATAGGAACACGGGAATAAACAGAATAGTAAATTCGAGCCATTCATGAAGTGCTACGTGTTGGGCACAGGCTGGGACCTTGGAGAATAAGACTGAATGTCTGCCGCCACTGCTGGGAGGGTATGAGCCTCTCCTCTGCAGAGATGAGGAACACCAAGGTTCCAAGAAGTTAAGTAAGTCACTCAGGGCCAGAGGGATCAGACACCCCGGCTCCAGGCCCACCTGACCCCATCCCTGCACTCATGCTGATAATCTGGAGGGACTTGACGGGCCGCTCTGAGGTCACTGGAGAATGAGCGGCCTGCTAAGTGCCATCTCTGTCCTGCTGTGAGCTTCGGGAATGAGCTAACAGTGTGAGAAGCTTGGCGCCAAAGTATCCTGTGCCTGTCACCCCATGATCGAGGGGACCGGCTCATGAGCTGGCTTCCTAAGGCGCATCTCAGGAGGAAAAATGGGCAGGCCCACAGCAGCAATACAACGTGAAAACGTGCGTTTGTGTGAGAAAACGCCTCCGGTCCGTATTAATGAACAAGGGATGGGCTAAGAAAACAAGTTAAGAGATTGTCTGACCTGCCTTACAATGATCAGAAGTACATCAAATAAAAGCAGGGAATAAAGCACGGACACGGCATTCAGGAGACGTTTAATGACCAGAAAGCCCCAGATTCTCGAGAATGGGTGCATCCTGAAGGGGCCCAAGGGACACCTCGCTGGCATTGTCACCCCTATGCCCTGAGGGCCAGAAGTGCACTGGAGTTGGCTTCAACAGCTCCCAGGCCAGCTGTGCACGCCTCTTCCCAGTTCGTGACATCACACTGGTAGCTTAAAATGGGCCACAGTCGAGATCCCTCCACCACAGAGACTGGCAAACTCCCTGCTCGTGGGAGGTGAACACTTACAGGACACTGCTGGTGGATGCCCGAGCATCCACCGTTCCAGGGGGCTTCGGAAGCCCACGGAAAATAACCCAGACTCATGGAGAGCACCAGGGTACCATGCCCCAGAAACCTACAAGGAACAGAAACACCTTGGCCTTTTAGTCCCCCTTCCCTACCTCTTCAACAACACCGTACACTGACATCCTTCCCAAATCCCTGAGCACTGTGCATGGGAGAACCTTTGTCCACAGCTGATAGCTCTGCCTGCATCCCAGTGTGACACTGCTGAAATCAGGTGATGGACAAGGATCCCCGCACGTGGTGTAGGAAAGCCGTAACACCATTTGGAGAAAAAACTGCATTCTGTTCACGGTTTGTTACTGTTATTCTAACACATATTCCTCCGTATCAAAACAAGAAATTACAAAGTCCCATGAACCTACCTTTTGATGAGAAGAAGAGAAACACAAAACCAGGTGGTGGGAGGGGGGCAGGGAATCACTTGCAACTAATCAAAAGAAAAGGAAGAACTCCAGTGGTTCCTGAGGACCCAGCATCCCACACACTGTAAGCGCATCCCTCCCACTCTGCCCCCTCCATCCCCTTTCCTTCTCCCAGACATGGGAACGGGGACAGCTCCGTGCTCTGGAGACTCCTGTGCTGTGCTCCTGCTCAACCAGCTCTCTGATTTCGGAGACCAGCCTCCCACCACAAAACAATGGCACAATCAACGTCTCTTACGAGTTAAGAGACATGTCGTTGTTTCCTTCCTCACTATGTCTCCCGCAGAGAGCACTGGAAATGCATACGTATGTGTATACACACGCGCACACACACACATGCACGTGTGCGCATGCAAAAGAAGACCAAACACACCCCTGCTCAAGATGAAAATTAAAGCCAGACCCTGTCAGGGAAGGCCAAGAGACAACCGTCTGAGGAAGCTAACTGAAAACGGAGGTTAGGCAACAGTTTGAAACTGCAAGGCAATGATGAAAGTTTGGAGGCAGAGAGCAGTGATAGGATCATCAATCAGAGCCCCACGCCTGTCCCAACAGCCACAGTAAAGGTCTATTTCCTGCCAATCCGCCCCAACAGTGTGAAGGAAATGTTAGAAGGAACGTCATAGCCTGCTTCTCCAGCAATCTACGGTGACTCGAAGGCAACTGGTTCTCTCCTCTGTGATTTCCAGGATGGGGTCATCAAAAATGATGCAATGGCTTCTAGAGATATTAGATGTTTTCAGGAGGGGTTAAAAAAAAAGAGAGAAAAAGAATGAAAACACACTGAGTGCCACTCAGGTGTTCTCTCCTCTGACCCTGTTCACCGTCACACAAGGTGGCCCCTATCAGCTCCATTCTCAGGTGAAGGCCCGGAGCTGGGGAGGCCAGGTAACTCGCCCGAAAGCGCAGCTTAGGGAGGAGGGCACAGAGAAGAGCCAGGGCCCCCCATAATACCAGCTTGGTCTCCAGCTCCAGGAAATAGTCACTGAAACACAAGGCACACATTCCCCATTAGCCCCGGTGAGTGGCTCTAAAATTATCCCAATGCCGTTAATGTTCGATGCCGTTATCTATTTCCAAACATCAGCCCTGTCACAGAAAGGGCTGAAGGATTCAGCCAATCCATTTGTTTTATATGGAGATGCATTTCACGGCGAGCCCAGCGAACGGAGCCCGCAGCAGCTGGAGGGTTAACCGCCCCACAGCCATGTTCACTGCAGGGCAGATTTCTAAAACGGTCCTTGGTTTCTAAGAGTCACGGGACTCAGGAAGTAGTAAAAACTGCTGTACTGTACGCGGCCATCATTTTCTTAGTTGAATTAGTGAAGCGCGGATATAAATACGACGGCAGTTCCCTGTGTGGTAACAGCACATGAGCTAAACCTTCTCAAATGGGAATATGTGATCATTTACTGAAAGAGGCAGAGAAAAAAAATCGCCCATACTTTTCAAAAATAGTAGCAGTTTTCATCCATTCTCTTTTCTGTTTCTCTATTTTCTTTTTTTTTCTTGAGAGAGCCAGAGAAGGGGGAGGAGGGAGACTCTTACACAGGCCCCACCTTCAGTGTGGAGCCCGATGCAGGGCTCCGTCTCAGGACCCCAAGATCATGACCTGAGCTAGAAGCAAGAGTCGGACCTCAAACAACAGAGCCACCCAGGCGCCCCTCATCTGTTCTCTTCAGTTTAAATGTTCTAAATGGTTTATCCTTTTCAGAATGAGTAAGTAATCTGAGCACACAATAAATTACTTCCAGATCATCCAAAGAACCTCACCTACAGATATGTTTGTCGTGGCTTTATTCATAACTGCAATAAAGGAAAAGTCTGGAAACCCTCCAGTGTCCAATAGGAGCACGGCCAACTACATGGGGTCCCGCCACTGGATGCTGGATCCCAGAAAGCCTTTGGGAGTTATAATGAGTGAGACCACGTGTCAAAAGAAAACAAAATGTTCACTTTAGCCATGAACTTTCGTTTCCAAAAAGGTCCACAGAGACAAAAAACAGAAGGCAATACTGAACATTGTGGGGAGGGTAGTAAAATCTGTGCGTAAGTCATGACCTCTTTCATTTGAGATTTCCAGCGAGGCAAGAAGGAATGCTGATACACAGCAGAGGGGTGCGGGGTGGAGCACAGCCGTGACCATGGAGAATGAACCAAACACGCCCAGGCATCGGGACGGAGCTGTAAGATGCCCCATCCTGGCCAGGGGGCACGCTGCCTACCTTGCTGGATGAGTGCGTCGGCCGCCAACTCCCCAGTGCCCACGTTGGCGTACTCCTCATTGGGGTGTTTCCTGTTGTAGTGTCGCTTCAGAGAGCCGGATATGTTACAGGAGTAGTGGCAGTGGGCACAGCGGAAAGGCTGCAGGGACAAAGAGGACAGGTTAGAGAAGGGAAGCCCCAGGGGAGATCGAACCCCAAGGAAGAAGAGGCGTAACTCATCCCAATGTCCTCCTCCACTACTCTCCCACCCCAGTGTGTCTGACATCCCCAAAGCCTGTGATGCGCAGGTTGCCCCTGGGGATAGGCTCGGGGCACGTGGGGCCAGGGATGATGCTCAGGATGCTGAGTTCTCCGTCCATGAGGACCACACAAGGCATCCCCAGAGCAGGAAGGGTCTCTGCTCAGTTTGGTTGCTTTCAGTTGTTGTCTTATTTTGGCCTTAGTTCTTGATCAAGAAAAAAATAATGAAAGAAAGGAATACAGTAATCTATCATTTTTCTTTTTTTTTGTTGTTGTTGTTCAAGTGAATGTCTTTCAAAGTAGCTCCCCTCACAATTAATTCCCCGATGTACTTGCTTCTTTAACTAAGTCATTTCCCCCACAGCATGTACATGTAAGCATGCACGTATACACATGCATCCACCCACAGCTGTCCACCGTTAGGGAAATCCACCTGGTCGGTCCACTTCCAACCCCCTGCCCCCGTGCAGGGCAAGCACTTTCAAGGTAAGGATGCAATGGGTCATGCAGCCTTGCTGCCACCTTGCATTGCTTTGGGGGGCTCAGAATGAGTGGTGGGGAGGAAAGGGATGGCTGCTCAGGCCCATTGGGGGACCTAGTTGGACCTGGCCATCAGATGAGTGATGGATGGACATCTGGACGTCCCACGCCCTGACTCCCAGTGAAGAGCGTTATCAGTATCCCTCTGAGCCACATGCTCTCCAACCGTCCAGTAGACTGCTATATGAATCCAAGGTGTGCATCCGGGGCCTATCTGGGAACACAAGCAGCTTGGCCGCCCGCAGGAGTAGGAGAGAAGGAGCAGTCCATGGCGGTCCCAGCTCTCAATACAGGGGATTGGGGTGGGACGATGAGAAATGCTGGCTTTCTCCAAGGTTCTGTCCTTGGGTCTGTTTTTCTCCTGCTGTGGTTCCAATGATCATTTCGTTCCAATGATCATTTCGCCAGCTTGATATATATCCAGCAGTGATCTCTCCCAAACCACAAATAGGAATTTTCCACCGTCTTCCAGGTATCTCTACAGGGAAGCTCTCTAGGCCCCTCCAAATAAACACACACAATTCCCGACTGACTTTCTGCAAAATCAGCTCATCGCTCGGAGGCAGAAACCTGAGCACCATCCTACACTTTTCCTTTTACTATTCAGCTAATTATAGAGTCTTGTCCAGGCTTCCTCAGAAACCGCTGCAGAATTCACCCTGCTCCTCAGTCTGTCACAGCCGCACAGAAAAAAGCTCCATCCTAGCCTATGAAGGAAACGCCGTTACTCCCCTGAGGGCCGTTCTCAGAGAGAAAGACGCCAGGAAGTCAACACAGGGACAAAGCCTGAGATGCTCCCTGGGGACGCCGCCGTCCACAAGGCCACTCTCTGCTCACGGGATGCTCTGCGGCACACTCCACGTGCTACACTGGGCCCCGTGGCTTAGCCCACAAGGACTGATTAAACAAAAGGACCTGGGACAAAGGCAAAAATTAACCAGGCTCTCTCATCTACCTACCGAGCAGAGAACAAGATGTCTAAAACCCCAGGATATGATTATTTGCAAAGTTAAAATAGAAGCTAGAACACTCCGAAGTGCCTTCATATCCTAAATAGGCAAATATTATGAAATTATTTTTGGAACACTGGCATTTACACAGAATCAGAAAGAACAAAGAAAATGCTCTAATGCCAGCACTGAGTGGCCAGCCGGCCTAAGAGGCAGGAAGGGGCAACCACAGTGAGACCTGGTCCTACAGACTTAACTCCAGGCTCCAGAGACAACTTCACCCTTCCTGGGGCCACGCATATCAGCTGCCTTGTGAAAGTCACTGGATTTTGGGCCCAAGGCCCAGCCTGTGACCCTCCCAAGGAACCTGGGCACAGAGGGATGCATCCAGTCGGCCTGAGGCTGGAGGCTGCCCCACCCCCCACAGCATCTTGTAAATGTTGACTTTTATGACCCTGTGGTCATTTTCAGAGTCAAAGATTACAGCATAAAATGATAGGGAAAAAATCAGAAAAGTAACCGTGAAAAGCAAACACTCCCAACAAGAGAAGCCATCTCCCTAGGATTTACAAAGAATAATAAAGTGTAGATGGTTACGTTTTTGCCTGCAGAGGCCAGGGTGCTCGGGGCGAGGACGCTGAAATCCCACAGCTTCCCTCCTGGGGACGGCACGACCAGGGATGCCAGGCCAAGAGCAGGCCGAAGGAAAGCTCCCGGAAAGTAGGAAACGGGCCATCAAACACAGCAGGGGCCAAACCACAGAAGGAGCAAGATGCAGTTTTAGAAAACATTCTGAGCACAAGGATGGTCAGGGAGTAGCAGGGGCTCCTGACACGGGCCCTCTCCAAGAGCTAAAACCACCACAGTCCCCAAACACCAACCAAGGCTGAGCGAGGACCAATCGCAAACCAAAGCTGCTGCTGAGACAGCTGGGTCCACCTCCTCGCAGCACAACTGGCCACCATCCACTATCCCCGAAGCCTCGGGCACAGACCTGAACTTCTGGCTTCTGGGTTTCCTCCTCAGAGATCGGGGCGGGGAAAATACTGATGGCACGCGACTATTGGGGGGCCCACAGAGGTTACACGGATGGTGAGCAAGTGTTCAGAAAGTCCGCTCTGTCCTCACAACCACGGGCACGCGGTGACACTAAGTATTCGAGCTCACCACTCTGTGGGCTTTTCCCGCCCAGTATTCTCCCAGGAAAGAGCCCCAGAAAGCCAGACTTACCCGCCTGCATCCCCACGCTCTGCTGGGTGCATGCTCCCCTGACACTGTATGCAACATGTAGCCCAAGGTCACGGTCCAAAGCCACTGTTCCTGTGAGGTCTCCCCTCTCCCTGCCTGGGTGCCCCTTACAGGTTTTGACTGGTTTGCTTTTTATGGCATTTATTACCTTCTAATATAACATGCAATTTACTTATTGTGCTTAAGGTCTACTCCCTCCATGAGAATACAAACACCAGGAGGGCACAATTTCTTTTGATCACTGTTACTCCAGCACCTGGACCAGCTTGCAGGGACCAAGCTCAGGACTACTTAAAATGAGCTGACCCGAGAACACCCCCTCGGGACCAGTGCTTTACAGCAGAGGCTGCCAGCTCCCGGATCCCCACAGGCCTGAGAGAAATCGGAAGGAAAGATCAAAAAGTGAGCAGAGGGCATGACTAGGGCTATGTATACGTCGTTCGCTTGTCTTCATGTTTCCGTTTTTCAGGATTTCTAGAAGAGAATGTATGTTTTAAGTAATCAGAAACATGCAAGGGTTAAGATAAAAACCAAACCAAACAAAACAAAACTGACCCCAGCCCTGAGCTTGACTTCTGCCCAAGAGTACCTCATGAGGAAGGAGAGCGCCTGCATAGGGGCTCAGTGTCCTCGGCTCAAGGCCTGAGTCTGGAGACTTTGTCTCCTACCAAATCCCACAGCCACTGGGATGGCCAGATGGCCCACACTGGTCTCCCAAGCCTCCTTGCTGACCTGTCTGCATTTCCTTCCCGAGAAAGATCATTTAAAGGTGTACACCAGACAGACCTTGTCATGTCTCTGCTCAAACTGCCCAGTGGCTTTCTCCTGCACTTAAAAGAGCCCATGCCAACCCCCTGCTGGGGCCTGCATCTCCTCTGACCACAACCCTGTCCTTGCTCGGCCTGCATCACTAGGACCCAACAGCAAGGACTCCTTTCTCAGGCTGCCCTCTGGACAGAAAAGCCCACCGGCAGACCGTCCCAGGGCGGCACAGCCATGGACCAAACTCAAGTCCCTGATGGGTCTTTTATTGGAACAAGTGTCCGCATCAACGGCCCCAGGGCCCTCCAGGTCTCCTGAGAGGGCTCAGAGCCACTGAGGACCTCACCTGCCACCTCACTTCAACAGAGTCGGCTGCCCCAACCTTTCCATTCCTCCAGCTTCCTCTCCTGCTGTCAGGATCCTCCTTCTTCCTTAACCACGCTCCCACCCTGCCCTCCTCTACTTGAGCAACCTCCAGGACAACTTCTGGGACTGAGGTGGGTACCCTACAGGTGTTTTATGAGGCGTCCATTTCTGCTCTCTTCCACAGTCCTCCTTCTGCCCGAGTGTCTTGGGGCAGGCTCTGTCCCCTCTCAACAACCTTGGAAAGAACTGACCGATCCTAACACCGTATGAGCCAGAACAAGAGGAGATGTGACTGTCTTAGTGTGGCAGGTCCTACAACGTGTGTGTGCAAACCAGGCTTTCCTGAATGAGCAGACCGATCCACTTGTATTTGGTGCTGATCCACTCATTCTTTTTTTTTTTTTTTTAGGATTTTATTTATTTATTTGTCAGAGAGAGAAAATGAGAGAACGCACAAGCAGGGGGAGCGGCTGACAGAGGGAGAAGCAGGCTCCCCGTGGGGCTTGATCCCAAGACCCTGGGGTTATGACGTGAGCCGAAGGCAGACGCTTAACCACTGAGCCCCCCAGGTGCCCCGATCCTCTCATTCTGAGCACATTCTGAGCACAGCCTCAAATCCTAGATCCCCAAAGTGTGAGCCACGGGATGATACAAAAGAACAGACACCCCCTCCCCGGCGTCCCCTTTGCTCTGGAAGAAGACAACCGTGCTAGGCTTCACAGATTTCAGCCAAATTTGATGAGTTCAACGTTTCCTTTATTCCCAAGTGAGCAAAGATGCCTATGCATTGTCCTGTAGGTCATACAAAGGGAAATGTTCGCCAGAGAAGCTCCTATTTCTTCTTCAGAAGTGTTAGCTCACAGGCTACTCCCGGCCCCCTGCTCCGTCTACCTCTGAAACCTTCTCTAGGTCCCAGGAAGATGGGCGTCTCCCTCTCCTCCACCATCCACCCCTACCACCCCAGCACCTGGTAAAACCCAGGGCTCTGATCTTGCTCCCGCGTGACTGTCACCGGCACGGCCACATCCCCACA